CTTATCTACTAAGGAAAGCAAAAAGGGATAAAAGAATAACAGGGATGAAGATTTGCAGACAAGGGCCATCAATAACTCACCTTTTTTTTTTTTGCAGATGATACCTTAATTTTCAGCAAGGCAGACACAAAGGAGGCGGAAGAACTCAGACAGATTTTGAAAATGTATGAGAAAAGCTCAGGAATGTGCCACAACAAGCACAGGAGAGAATAAGCTCACAGCTCGGAGATGGTGACTCAAGGGAAATACTTGGGGTTACCAATGGTCATTACAAGGACAAAATAGCAAATTTTTGGCTTTATAAAGGACAAATGTGAGATGAGGATGAAGCTATGGAAGAATAAACTCCTCAGCACTGCAGGTAAGGAAGTTCTACACAAAGCAGTGGCCATGGCACTACCTACCTATACCATGTCCTGCTTCAAGTTGCCAGTCAGACGACGCAAGGAATTGAGTACTATGATGGCCAACTTTTGGTGGGGAGGAGAGTGGGAAAAAGAAAATACATTGGTGCTCTTGGAAGAAAATGACAGCAAAAGGATAGAGGGGGACTAGGATTTAAGGACTTGCAAAGCTTCAACAGAGCTTTGCTGGGGAAACAAGTATAGAGGATGGCCATAACTCCTAATTCTCTGGTATCTAAAGTACTAAAAGCCAAATATTACCCACATGAGTCAATATTCAGATGCAAAATCAAGCAGAACTCCTCTTGGATTTGGCAAAGCTTGATGGGAGCAAGGGACTCGGTGGAAAAAGGAACCTATAGGAAAATTGGAAATGGCAAGAGCACTAAGATATGGAGGACAAATGGATACCAGGGAATTCTCAAGGGATACCAACCTCAGCAAGGCCACAACACTGCACAGTCAATAAGGTGGAAGAACTGGTCCAAAGTTACAGATGGAAAAGACCTCTCTTATTCAAGCTATCTAAGGATAAAGAAGCTAAAAGAATTATGAGGATACCTATCAGTTTGGTTGATAAAGAAGATAGCCTTTTCTGGACACACAGTGGAAATGGGGAGTACACAGTGGCCTCAGCCTACAAGGAACTGATGAGGAATGATCATGCACAGCAAGAAGAAGGCCAGGAGGAAGGAACAAGTCTGAGAGACAACAAATTCTGGAAAACCTTGTGGAAACTCAATCGAAAACATAAGATAAAGATGTTTTTGTGGAAATGCTTGAACACTGCAATACCTATGAATGAAGTCATGCACAGTAGAATCAAAACAGGATCACCTATGTGCAATTGCTGTGGAGAAGGTGTTGAGAATGTTGAACACCTATTCTTCCAATGCAGGATAGCTAAAGAAATATGGCATCTAGCTCCATTACATTGGGATGGAATTGAAGACCAGAGAGGAGACTTTAAGAAGTGGTGGAGCTCTGTACAGAAGCTAGGTGCAGAAGTGAGGGTATGGAACACACATAGCCTTGACAGCTAATATCCTGTGGCAGATTTGGAAAGCAAGAAATGAAAGAATCTTCAACAATGTACTGCAACATCCATTGAAGATTGTACAGAAGGCACAGAAAGAATGGATGGAATACAAAGAAGCTAAGGATCAAGAGAAAAGGATGAGCATGTGGAACACCAAGAGCAGATGAACTACAGCTACAGAGGAAAGAGGGTGCCGACATCATTCATCTACTATTGCAGCACAGCAGAGGACGGGAGGCTGGGACATGGGAATTGGAATAGTAGCAGAGGATGATAACAAACAAATTCTAGCTCAATGGGCCTCAAAGAAGCTACTGATGGGAACAAACTCAGGAATCAAGCAGTGGCCGTTAAGTTAGCATTATGTAAGGCAAGAGAGAAGGAATGGAAGAAGGTTGAGGTCAAGATTAAACAGAAGCAGCTACTGAAAATGATCCAAACCAGTAAATCCAAAGACATGGCAATGCACTCTCAATTGGAGGACATCAGAAATTTGTGCTCATGTTTACGGAATGCTCATTCATTTTGTCCACTAATCTAACGGAGGAAAGGGTTGATTTAGTTAGTATGCATGCATTAAGCATTTCTTTTGATGAAGAGTGGTTCCACTCTTAGTGCCAAGATGCACTTGTACAGTTAATTTGGGCTTTTGCCCAACAATTGTATAGTTTACAACATATCAATAGAATTATCTACTGTTTCTGGAAAAAAAATTAACAGCACGCTTAACAAATTATGAGTTCTTAGCAGTGCTCCAGGCATACGGGTTTTTCCATAGTGTTTTTCCACCTTTACTAACTTGAAATGGTCCAAGTTCGGTCATTGCTCCGTCCCGAGTGAGGAGCAACCAGGTCTTATAGTCGAATTAATCTCACCGTTAATAAGTTCTTTTCATGAAATGTATACCTATGAACCAATAGTTACGAAGAATAGGGACGAAAATTTACCTGCATTTAGCCATAGCACAAGGGGCTTGGTAGAAAAGTTTTGAGACTCAGCAAAATAGTAGAAAAGAGCTCTACCAGTCTCATGATCAACAATGGTATACCCTGAATATTGATCAAAATTTAGATCATTTGATTCACGCGGGCAAAGTTGTGATCTTATCCGCTGCCTTCAACCATCTTGGGGGCCAACATAAACTGGCGAATACTCATTCACCAAATCGTCACTCATGATTGATTGATTTTCTTAAGCCACGAGCCTTAACGAATTGCGCAAGAGGATCATCATATCTATATTCATGTCCAAGTCCACCACAACATTGTGTAGCAGACACCACCAGGCAGACGAGTGAGATATAACAGTATTGCACCTTTCATTTTTGGATGTATAGCTAGCTAGATATCTGTGATTTCTTTCTCTAATGCAAGGATTCATTTTGTGATTTCTTTCCTGGAATTACTAATGACTTGGTTAAAGTATGCTGGGGCTCATCATGATTTGCGCTAAAAAAAATTATTGGATTAGCCCATACCCTATGGTCTTTGCAAGGATGAAATTGCAGGGTGTAATTGATGGTTCGGATATGTTTAATTTGAATTTAACAAAACACCGTATGTTATATTAAAAATTGAACAATTTTCCTATGACATGATTTTAAACTTTCAACATATAGTTTAACATGGATGTAAAACTATGCATAGAGTATTTACAATTCATCTTAAACTATCAAATTTGACACAAAAAAAGTTGTGGATCACGTACAAATTCACTACACAAAATGAATTGAAGATGCTTGGAAAACCTTGTTGTGAAGAGTAAATTTAAGAAATACTTAAGCACCTTTTCTTCATATTTTCTGGCCGGATTGCATCAAAACAACTTAAATTGTTTCTATTCCAATAAAAATACATACCCTTCTGTTTAGAGAGAGAGAGTAGGTAGGCAAATCTCAGGAAACATTGGTTAAAGATAAAGGATGTTTTTCTCATTCTCAAGCATTGGCAAATATAGATACATCATCGTAAGCAGTTCTTGACAATATTGATATTAGCAATAGATGATCAACATTTATTCCTTAAGAAATGATCAGATTAAGCCAGCTGACCAGGGTAAATTATAAAGTGCTCCCGTTGCCAAGGTCAGAAGTTTGACTATGACCCTGAAATCAAGTTAATTTATACTAGTGATTTTCCTACCATGTGTAGGTTAGTGTTGTGTTGCATTAGTTGTTCCAATTATCTGTATAATCTTGTATTCTTGAGAAAAAAAAATCAATTAGATAAAATTGGAATACCATGAAGATAGTAGGATAATTAAGTAAAAGAGTATGGTCACCTCATGCTTTAGAAGTATCAAGCGAATCATGTGGCAGACACATAATGTCAATCACAATTATACTATAGCCAAAAATTGGTTAGAACTTTACAGCTTCTGCTAATACTCTTCGCACTATTGAAATCATGTAATGGAGGAGATTCTTATTTGTAATGGCACTCAAACTTGGAATGAGCATGATAAAAAATTAATGATACTTCTTTATCTTTTGAGTTATTCTGTCGGATCAAGTATTCAAGATTTTTGGTCTTATTTGGGTCTAGACCGAACCTGATAAAAAAATATGGAATCACTTCTTATAGACTCGTTGAGAATGATTTGGATGTAATTCATGGCTATTAGAAGTAGAAGGTGCTCTGATGGTTCTTCATGGGATACATATTATTTCTTTGGCCCGAACCGAAGAATGCCTTAGATATAATGCAGAGCTGATCTTGTTTTATCCTTGATCAGAGATATAGGAAGATTTATTCAATTATATGATTTGGGCCCTGGAATATGGCGCCGTTGACCTTTCTATTTGATTGTATTGAAAGGCCAATAAATTGGAATTTTTCTCTTTGGTCAGACTATTTTGGAGTAAACAATCATTCATGACGAAGAGAATGAGTTTAAAGAGAATGATTCGGTAAACTTATTAGTCATCGGAATGACCCTATATATTCTGTGCATTCATTATACAACTATTTAGATGCGATTTGAAGGGGAAGTTTCTCACCAAAAGAGCATGAAAAATTGACGCTCGACCCGGTTGATTTGGAACAAATTGTCATGATCTGATTTTATAAATGATTATACACAAAATTTAGCATCTTTTTCAAGAAGTGGAAAGATAGTTGCATGGGATGACAAATGAGGTATCAAATATAAATCCTCTTCATGATCTGATTTTGCTGTTAAGCTCTTAATCATGTCACATGCTTCGGTCAAGAACAGTTGAGATTACTTTTTATGGACAAACATGACAGTAAACATGTTAAGATATTGATATTTTGGCATTTTTTGGACCCTTGTACAATCTTAAATGTGATCAATTAAAAAGGCCTTTTCCCTTAAAAAAAAAAGATAAGAACTTTTTGGCAGGAACCAAATTCAGGTAATTAATTATAGTAATTACAGAAATATAGCAAGCAAGTTTAAGGATTGATAATCTTGATTCAAGAAAATAGACAAGATCATATGCATACACAACTGATCAGTAAAAGGTGAATAATTTCGTAGGTATATCTCAGGTCAAATTCCATTTCACGATTGATCATACACTGCTTTAATTAGCTCTAGTTGGAAGGTGGAAGCTTTCCATCCAAGAAGGATGAGAACAAAGTTAGCGCCCGGGCAGGCTGATAACTCGGAACAAAATGTCCAGCTCCCCTTACTGTCACAAAGGTCAAGTTTTCATATTCCACTGCATAACCACCAACCTGAACAAGTATAAAAAGAGGGTCAAATTTGGTTTTACTTGGACAAGAACTAAACATAGGATTCTTCATTCTTGTTACCAAAGAAAGGGAAAAGCAAACAAGAAAATGTATGATATGCAGTTGATTGTTTTTTACCTCGCCTTGAGTGTACCAAGCATACCAAGGAGTTTTCACCGATAACCCGAGTTTGTTCAAGCCGTACCTAGTTGTTGTCACAGAACATACACTATCTGTGTCTCCACTGCAATTGAAAATGTTCAAATTTTTAAACAGACACTAACTAGATAGGCAGGTCGATCCTCAGGTATTCATGATTTTACAGCTTAGCATATCTTTTTCACTTCCTTACCTGTACAGCCAAACGCTAATGCCACTTGAAGTGAGCTCCTTGATGACAGGTAACACTGTGTCTGGCTCATCATCCCAATGAGAGCCTATGTAGCCACTGTGTATACAATTAAGTTTTAAAAAAAAGAAGGAAAAAAAACTTAGCTAAATAAAATGAAAAGGAAGTATAAAATTAAGTATCCAATTGTGGATATCCTATATTCTACTGGAATAGAATAACAAAACGTTGAATGGTACGTACTTGCAGATCTCCCAAGGTCCAGGGATTCCGGTTGTATTAGCTTGAAGTGCTTTTTGAACGGCAGGAGTATTTAGGTAAGTGTAAACATAATTATCTGAGCATGGATCATACTCATTAATCTGTTTCATTCAGAGAGATATTTAAAAGTACGTTAGTTCAATTTGGTTTTCATTTAGAGGAGAAAATCAGAAAGGACTAAAAATGGCAGTGTATCGAATCAAGTTTTAGTACCGAAGAAGGAGTATTTGAAGAAGAAGAACACAAGGGAGCATAAATATTGTAATCATCGATATTGCCTTTTGCTGAAGATGCTTGGATTTTGTATGTTTGACAAGCATTTGAAGGTGGATCTGCTGAGGAAAAATTGCAATTGGAAACTATACCCTGATGGATTTCATCGGATATTAGGGCATGTGTCCAGTAATAATCATAAGTTCCACTGTTTTGTGCTTCAATATCGTAGTATCCGTTACCAATCTGAAAACCATGGACAAAGTATAATCATCATGTAACTGGTTAAATTAAATAAAAACAATTGATGATTCAAGAAATTTAAGACTTACAGCAACTCCTTTCAAGTTAATAACAGTTTGGTTAGTTATCTTGTTATTATGGAGGATCAATTGAGCAAGTTGAGGCACGTAATGGCCAGCATAACTTTCTCCAGTTATCAAGAAATCTCTGGTTTTGTACTCTGGGAATCTTTCTAACCAATTGACCAGAAATGTATAAGAATCTGCAGCAGTTTTTGTGTCTCCGGTAATGTAATCAGACGATGTGTTTGAGTAAGAAAATCCAACACCGGCCGGAGATTCCAGGAAAAGTACATTTGCCACTACATTGGAGGACACAAAACTGGTGGAGTTAATTGTGAATTTCTCAAAATTTTGATGACGATTACTCTACAATTAATTGATGAGATTTTTACCAGTGTTCCAGGCATATGGATTAAGCCAGAGGGTGCTTCCATCTCTATTAACTCGGAAAGGTCCCAATTCAGTCATTGCTCCAGCTCCAATTGAGGAGCATCCAGGTCCTGTTTTCGGTTCAAGTATGCAAAAAAACATTCTTTCAAACAAGGAAAACACGAAGATGACAAACTACTCTCAATCACTATTTATTTTCTTAAATCTCTGTCATTATCCCATCTCTTTATTCCTATCTTTTAGGTATTTGTAATCCCAGATTTGTAGATACTTTCTCAATTATTTAAAATCCAAAATGATATGAGTAACATTGAAGAGAGTGTTATATTCGTGTGCAACTTTGAAAGGTTACAGGCTTTTGTCACCTTAACTACTATTTTTCAAACAATAGCCTCTCTACAGAATGCTAGTCACAAAATTTCGAATAGAAATACTTACCTCCATTTAGCCACAAAACCAGAGGCTTGGCCGAAGAGTTTTGGGATTCGGCAAAATAGTAAAAGAGAGCTCGACCAGCTTTAGGATCAACTGTGACATACCCTGAATACTGATCAAAATTTACTGCATTTGGCTGTCCTGGCAATGTTGTGATCCTGTCAGCTTCCTTCAACCCTTCTTGAGGGCCAACATAAACTGGCGAATACTCATTTCCCAATTCCTCAGTCACATAATTCACTGATCTTTTCGAGCTTCTTCGAGCCTTGAGGTGCTTCAAAAGAGGGTCATGCTTTTTTCCTGCAAAACATTGCACAGATGCCACTAAGCATACAAGAATGAGAAGAGATAACACTAATGCACCTTTCATCCTTTAGGTGTAAAATTAGAATCCTGATATTTTTCACCAATGCAATTAACGTTTGTGTTTTATAGGTAGCTCTGAAGAAGAAATGCCGAAAATATCGTCCTTCTTTCTTCTTGTTCTTGTCACATTCACAATCTTGTGGCATTTCCAAGGTTTGTTTTCATCGCATAAAAACTGTCTCATTCCATTTGTGTAACTTTATTTGATTTTAAATATGTCGACCCAAGAAAGGTTATTGACATCTACAAAAGAGATTACTAAAAAAGAAGATCATAACATTGAACGTGTCAAATAGGCAGACAATTACGATGAATCGATACATCCCACACGAATTTGGAGCTCAATAAATCCCAGACGAATTTGAAGCCAGACGAATTTTGGCTTTATTATTATTTTTTTAATTTTTTGGAATAGTAGAACAAAAGATGGTTTTCATTTATTGAACGACAGAAATTGTTACTAACTATTTATTCTCTATTTCAGTCCTTAAACTTTTTATTTGAGCAAAAAAAAAAATACATTGTTTTACTACTAAAATGATCACTCTGGCCATATAAAAATATTTAATAACCAAAACAGAAAATTTCAAACAGTTTTGCGACTAATTTTGCTATTTTCTCTTCTTGAAAATAGAAGAAATATTTTTTTTTTTTTAAAAGTAAGCTTACATACAAAACTTGGCTTCTCATTAGTCCCTAGCATAACTTTTGTTTAGGAAAAAAGAGAAATTTTTTTTGTAAGACTAGCCTCTTGTAGAAGTAATTATGATCCATATGATTGATTTTAAAGTGGTTGATATTCTGATTAATTAATTAACATTTTATCAATAATTAATTGGTATCTCTTATTCAATAATGATTGATTGATATTTTCTACTAATTGATATCTTATTCAATCAGTTAAGCAACCAAATAAATTAATTAGTTAGAAAATATTATTTTGAATTATGAATTATGACAAGATTTTCTTGATGGAAGGAAACGTAGAGATTTTGGTAGTAAGGGTCCTTAGTTTAGCCTATAAATAGTCTCTGGTACTCTATTAACACTACACTCTCTGGTTAGGTATAAGTTAGAAGATCCTTATTCTATATTTCTCTTTTACTTATCTCTTCTTCTACACATTTTCTTTGTTAGTATAGAGAAGAAGAAAGTAAGTAGTTAAGAGCGGTATGGATTTAAGTTCTACTTGACAACAATGGCTGGAGATAAATTATTTAAATTTTCACTATTTAGTACAAGTTGTTTGTACTTATTTGTTTAACATGTGGATGTGGTATCAGAGTCACCCTTTAACTATCTGTTGTTTAACATATAATTTCATGATTTATTGGCAATCTGATAAAAGTTGCATAGATTCATAGAATATTAGATAAATCAAGTCTAATTTGGCATGAGATCTATGTTTCTATTATTTCAATGATTGAGAATTAATGGCTAATCCCATATATATGTATCATTCTGGTGATGATTTATTTGGCCATGCAATTTATTCGGGTTTGTTTAATCTAGTGTGACTTGCTAATGATTTGAATATTTCTTGGACTCACATATTCTTAGTTGTGGATGTTATATGTATCGATATATATCATGATTATTGTTATCAATGTACTATAACAATCTCAGAAACATATAATTGGACTTTGACCATCCAATATGTAGTTATTTACATCTCACTTTTTGGTTGAATTGAGTATTCATCAAGACACCGTGGTATGATTTATATGATTGAGTGTATACATGTATAGTTACTGAAGAAGCACGGAACTTCCCCTAGGAGAGCTGACCTGATCAGCTCGGGGTGCCGATGACCGAACTGGCTCCAAGCCTGCCAAACAGAAAGGGTGAGCTAACAGAGGGGCCCGAGGGTTGTCCCCGAGGGCACTCCGACGATCAAGTTAGTTTTCCGGTGAGTAGAGTTCACGGGAAGCAGTAACAACTGGGAGTAATTTGCCTATAGTGAGCGTACCTTGTACAGTTGACGTGTTCAGTTGACCTCCGTACGTTTCGGGACTTGCCCAGAATAGTCGGTATCCCGCACTCAGGGGATTACTCCCGACCTCTTCGGAACGGACCTTCGCCTCCCCCGGGAGCCCTAGTCGGTGCGGCCCAGGCTGCTGCCAGGGGTCTGAGGGCCAAGGCCCAACTCGGCTATTCCTGGGCTGCCACGTGTCCGGGCCCAGAACGGGGCCCCTGCACTAGCCCCCTAGATTAGGTAGGACTGTCAGGCAGACCTAATCTACCTCCGCCACGTGGGAGGCCAGAGCCGCGCACTACCCCGCCGAGATCACCTCTGGTACAGTGCTGTCATAGGGACGCTGCACCCGCGTCCTTTCAGCTGTCACGCCTCTTCGGTTTCCGTACCAGCCTTAAATGCGTTCACATGGGGGTCGGTTCAAATTCACGCAACCGTTTTCCCTCCATTCCTCCCCCTATAAATAGGGGCTGCCAAATTCTCATCTGTCCTATTTGCCATTTCCGCTTCTCCTTGTGCATTTCCAGTTATCACTCTCCCTGTGCATCCGCATTTCCCTTTTCCAGCAACTTCCGGCGTCCTGTGCCCAGATTCCGACGAGCCTTCCGTCCTTCTTCTGTCATCATCAGTAAGTCCTTTTTGCGATTCACCCCCCTCTTTGCAGTGTCTCTTTTGCCTTCTGTCACCTCCCACTTTTTATGTCAGATCATTCCTCCTCCTCTGTTGCTGTAGTTTCAATCCGCCGCAGAGCCCCCGAATCATCGTTCTTTCTCGCCCTCACCCGCATCTTCATCACATCTTCTCTCTCCTCCCCCTTCCTCTTCTTCCTTCTCTAGCCCCAGCTTCCACACCCCAGACCTGCCTGAGCCTACTGACACCATGAGCTCTCCTTCTCCTCAGTCTCCCTCATCCCATCCTTTTTCTGCCCGCGCTCTAGAGGAAGCGGCCGAACTCGACGCCTACCTCGAGCGGGAGGCCGCAACCACCCCTTCCCCAGTCCCCCACGACTCCCCCGGAGCCCAGGGCGGCGCTGGAGAGGACAGGGATCCCTCGGAGGGGACCTGCGTCGGAGCAGGGGGATGATTCCCGAATTCTCTCTATGGTTATCCAGACCTACAGGAGGCCACCCTCTTACCCCCGGATGTGGCCGAACTGGCCAAGTCGTACTCCATCCTCCGGCCTTCGAGCCGAGGGCGGCCGGGCCGACGACGGGCCTGCCGACCTTCCCCCGGCTTCGTAGCCATCTACAGGGAGCAGCTCATCGCAGGGCTCCGCCTCCCCATTCATTCAGCTCTAACCGAGATTCTGACCTACTGGGGGCTCAGAATCACCCAGTTTCACCCCACCTCCATCAGGATCATCACTGGATTCCTGATTTACTGCCTTCTCTGCGACATCCCCTACTCTCTCTCCCTCTTCCGAGCCGCCTTCATCCTTAAGGCCTCCTCCAGGGTGGTACTACTTCTCCCGCCGTGGCCCTCAGACCAAGGGAGGGAAAGGGGCTCAGGAGTTATTCTTTGCCTCCCTTCCTCCGTAAAGGATTGGAAGGAGGACTTCTTTTTTGTCAGATCCACACATTTTTCCCCAATGTGTGGAAGGTTGGGGGAGTCAAGGCGACTCCTATCCGGAGGACCTGGACTACGAGACCCTCGCCAGCTGTTGGGCTCCAAGGTGAAGCTCGATGTCACCAGGATCTCCACTGAGCAGATCTCCGCAGCCGGGCTGATGGGGACGTTGTCCGGATCCTCTGGGGAAGTGGCGGCCCCCAACCCCAACTCGACACCTGTAACGCTGGCCTTACCCCTGTCACATTCATAGTGTATAGATTTTTTCTTTTTTCCCTTTTGCTGTCTTGCGTTTGGCTGACCTAGTGCTGTTCATTGCAGTGAGAAAGCTCTCCCAGCTGCTGGGCGCACCCCTCGAGGAGGTCACTCCCGACCCCCAACCCGAGACTGCTCGGGGGGCCCCAGGTGGGGCTTCCACCCCGGGGGCGGCTCAACCCCTCAGAAAGAGACGTCACAACCATCCCCCTCCAAGCAGGCCGCCAACAAGAAGAAGGCGGCCGGACAGAAGAGGGGCAGAGGGATGAGCCCTCCCAGACCGGGCAGAAGAGGCTCGCCCTGGTCCCCACACAGCCTCCTCCTCTTGCGGGGTCTCCGGGGGACCAGTCCACCTGGGCGTGGGCTCCGCCGAGGAGCAGGTCCAGGAGTCGACTCCCCCGAGCTTGTGGCACTTCCGCCACATAGCTCCCCTGAAGCCAGGCCAAGCCCCCACGATGCACGACCCCCGCCACTTCTGTCCGTCCTGGAAACTCTCC